TCCTATATAGGTAGATCACTTCAAATAACCGAACTAGAACTCGTAGGAATAATCAGTAGGCTTCAAATAACCAACTCCTGATTCATTTTGCCGAATAAGATTCACCGAGTTTCGAACAGATTAAACTAGGAGCCTCGGTTTTCAACCCAACTAAGCTTTTGGGGCTAAGCCAGCTTTCTTGTTTCTAAAACGAACTCAGAAAGCTGCCCCTAGAGGCTCACCGAAGTAACAAACACATAGTTTAACCGATTTAGGCCTTGGGGCAAGCCAGCTCTCTTAGTTTTTTAGACCGAACTAAGAAAGCTGCCCTTAGACACGTGAAACGGTCTACTAAGCAACCCGCTCAAGCGACGGTCACCAAACTTTCGACGAACCGAGGTAGAATAGAGTTTAAAGGCCGAAGTAGGCTCTTATACCTTCTTTTTAATTTGTAGCACGATCCTATGATCTGTGCTTAACCCCTTTGTTTTCTACTTTGCAGACTTAGGTTGCCCAGGCCTTCCTTCTTGTGCTTAACCGAGCTGAGCACGATTTTTGCACCGATATTAAATTATAAGTAATTAATCAGATGGGGTAAGTATGGTATCTAGTTGAGACCCCTGTGGCATGGCGAATTTAGGAAAGATACCAAATCCTGATGACGTCCATCTGATGTTGGCCGAAAAAAAGTGTTATTCCCTAGGGAAAAAGAAGGCTTCGTCCTTTTACCCTTCAATCCATAATAGAAACCGGACTACGGTTTCCTGTCCAACCATTGTTATCTGTGAATTTCTTAGCAGACTAGATTATGCCCTACCCAACTGTCACCAATACATTCCGTATATTATGGGAATAGCCGCACTGAACCATCAACGGACTAAACCTTGGCCTGGCCGAAATTTTTCCATCAATACTCCATCGGCTCAAAAGATGATGGGTGGGTCTATTACTTAGGATTCGCGCCGCCGGAGAGAAGATGTTAAATACACACCCGAACAAGACCTTAATGACGATGATTTTTTCTGGTTCTCTGGGAACTTTGAGGATTTTCAAGCCCAAATTCCTGGCAGACCTTATGAAAATTGGAAAAATGGGAGCCCGGTAATTTGACTTCAGGTCTTCATCCTTGTATTTTTATTTTGGTTTTTAGTCTATCAACCGAACTAACAGTTCTTCTTTTGCTAGATTTCGCCCACATCCGCTCTTTATACAACTAATCCAACCTTGTGTTTTGCGACGTCCGCATACGGTTTAAGAAAGAGTTGGGCTAAGCTTCTACACTTTGAGCCGACCTACCGGTATACGCGGTCGCCGAAAAAGCAAGAGTACTGACTTTCTTCTCGAAAGGACGCTCCTAAGCCGGACCCAAACTTGCCACAAATAAGATAATTCCTGCTAACCGCTGAGAGTTCCACGGGGAGTTACTTAAATTTATCTGATAAACTAAATTTATGAAAATTTAAAAAGAAAGGCGGGCATATTCCTTATGATGAAAATATTGCTTCCGTTTGTTATAATTTTTTATTATTATTTGATTTATTATTATTTATTGTTATTATTTCAACTGATAACATTTATTTTATACTTACTAATGTTACTGGTTATTCTGTTACTACATATTATTCATAAATTGTGAGTATTATTATCGGGGTGGGTATTTTCGGGTTGTAGTATCTTATTGAGCTCATCGCTCACTGGCATTCCCGTTGCCCTGGCATTTTATGCTAGGTACCGAAGAAATCGAAGGAAACACTGGGGCCTTGCAAGGCGACACTCAACCTTGGTTAGCTTGAAGAGTGTCAAGTTTCATGAACTATTTTCTAAAATTTCTAATTTTTCTCTAGTTTTCTTTTTATATTTGTATCATTTCTTTTATGTACTAAGACTAAGTTGTGATGTAAGAACTTTAAATTCTGGGTTGTTAATTAATGGATGTTAGTAATATTGGTGGTAATATTGATTTTAAATTCTAAATCTTATTATGATGTCCTTAAATTTTGTGGTGTCACACTCAGGATTGATGTGCTTGGTCAGATTACTCCAATGATCAAGGCTAATAGTTTGAGTATAAGCAAAGAGGCTTTGAAAGTAATCATTTGCTAAACTTTTTAACTGCATGGGGTTATGCACCCAAACCCCTTCCTCATTTTTCAAAACTCCAATTTTTGTTTTCCTTCTCTTAATAATGGTAGACATATGAAAAAAATTTGTATTCCGCTCACCTTGAGTAATC